CAATAATTATATTCGTTTTAGAAATTACCCAATGCTAATATTGGCTTTGCTAAAGCAATGAATAATGGTTGGTTACAAGTTGATAAATCATCTAAACCAGCACTAGTCAAACGCAAGGTAAAGAACGAGTTTTGAAGTGAATGATGAGAATTTCTTCAAATGATTGCCTCTGATTCATCAGGATTTCTATCTTGATGCGGTTATCTGACACATCTTAACTCGTCTATATATTGTTTGTTTTTTGTGTGGCTTTTTTAGGTTGATAATATTCATGATGAAGTACGAGATTTACTTAAACGTATTCAATCATTACAATTATCTGATTCAAATGCTAAAGAAGTAGTTGAATTAAAAAAAAGAAAATTAGTTGAAGATGTGTAAGATTTAACTTTTTTTTTTTTATATGTTAAAATTTTTTAATATTTAATTTCTTAGCGTTATTAATTATTTTATTGTTACAAAATCAGTCGGATTTTCTACAAATATATCAAAAGGTGAAGCTGAATTAACAGCTGAAATGTTACAAACGTAAAAGATTATTTTAAAAATTATTCTTATTTTTTTTTTTTTGTTAAATCATAAATATTTCAGTGGTTCATGGAAAACATTACATTTTAAACAATATAATTTCAATGCTAAAGGAATGATGCCATCTTATGGATGTTTACATCCATTATTAAAAGTTCGAACTGAATATCGACAAATATTTCTTGAAATGGGGTAAAAATATTAATTAATAAATTAAACAAATTGAATATTGTGTTAATATATTATTTAGTTTTACAGAAATGCCAACAAATAATTTTGTTGAGAATAGTTTCTGGAATTTTGATGCACTATTTACTCCACAAAAACATCCAGCACGTGATGCACAAGATACATTTTTCTTATCAGATCCAGCTATGACAACAAAACTTCCTGAAGATTATGTTAATAAAGTTAAACAAGTTCATTCAACTGGTGCTTTTGGTTCCATAGGTTATCAATATGATTGGCAACTTGAAGAAGCACAAAAAAATGTTCTTCGAACACATACAACTGCTGTTAGTACACGAATGCTTTATAAATTAGCACAAGAAGTATGTCAAAAATATGAATTATAATTATGAAATTTTGTTTCTTTTTTCATCTATGATTAGAAAATATTTAAACCGGCAAAATATTTTTCAATAGATAAAGTTTTTCGAAATGAAAATCTTGATGCAACACATTTAGCTGAATTTCATCAAATCGAAGGTTTAATTGCTGATTATAATTTAACATTAGGTGATCTTATTGGTGTTCTTTATGAATTTTTTCGTAAACTTGGTAATGAAATATTTTATTTTATTTCTTTAATGAAAATATATTTACATAGGTATGACTAAACTTCGTTTCAAACCTGCTTATAATCCATATACTGAACCATCAATGGAAGTTTTTAGTTATCATGAAGGTATTGAAATTATTTCTATTTATTATTACTTATAATGAATTTTAATTTGATAAAATTAAAGGTTTGAAAAAATGGATAGAAGTTGGAAACTCAGGAATGTTTAGACCCGAAATGTTACTTCCAATGGGTCTTCCAGAAGATGTATCGGTTATTGCTTGGGGTCTTTCACTTGAACGGTAAGAGTTGAGTTAAGGGTATTTCCTCCTCTCATTTGACCGTTGCCTATTCTCGAAGACGGTACAACTGATCAAGCTGAAACTTTTACCACAAATCGAGCACCAAAAATAAGAAGACATCTGTCCAAGGAAAAAAATTTCTAGATGGATTTTGCGATTTTTTTCTGAGAAATCCTGGCCTTCATAGGCCTGCATTCTGGTTGCTTACGACCCTCCCATCTAACTTTGTTCAGTCGCGCTAAAATTTGTACCACTGATACCTGAAAGTATTTTCCAGAGATAAAATCGATCGTTTTCGATTTTGGCTTTTGCATCGAATCTTTACATATTTCTCTCATAAATAAAAAAAGAAAGTGAGGTTTTTGGAAAAGCTTAAAATTACCTCTAAGATATAGTCTTAGATATTTCCAAAAAAAAAAATTTCCAGCCTAATCGGATTAAGTTTCACGAGGGTCGTAGCGTACCAGAATACGGCTCCATGAAAAGCAGAGTTTCCGAAATAAAAAAAAACGCAAAAATCTACTTCAAAATTCTTTTTTCTCGAATGCATATCTCCTTATTTTCAGTACTGCATCTGTGATAAAAATTTCCGTTTGATCGGTTGTACCGTCTTCAAGAATCAGGGACAGTCAAAAAGAGAGGGTTACCCTTAAGTCTGTTTCTTTTTTCAAGTGATTTTTATTTATATTCTTTCTTTTTTAAAGTCCAACAATGATTTTATATGGTATCAATAATATTCGTAGTTTAATTGGACCTAAAGTTGATTTAGAAATGTGTCAACAAAATCCACTTTGTCGCGTTACTGCTGCAACCGATGAACAATAAAAACAATTTTTTTTGTTATTTATATCGTTCTATTGTCATTCTTATCTTATGTTGTTGTTGTTGGTCTTGCGTGTGAAGAAAGAAAGAAAGAAAGAAAGAAAGAAATAAAGAAAATTTAAGCCAAGAAAAAAAAGACAATTTGTTTTCGTTTGTTTTCAGATGTATTCAGTTCGTGGAGGAAAACTTAATTTAAAAGGTACTGATGATGATTCTTCACGTACAAAGAAACGAAAGAAGCATTCATCTTCATCATCATCGTCGTCATCGAAAAAACAAAAACCAATTATTGATAATGATGAAGATGATGGTGAACAAGATTATGTTCAGTAAGGTTCTTTTTTCTTCTTCTATACGATCAAAAATAGATTTAATGATGTGTTTTTTTTCATATAGACATGATGGTTGGTGGAAAGTAACAAAATTTCATGAAATTAATGGCAATATTGCTATTGAATTTGGTACAAATAGTTATGTTCATTCATTAGATAATGGTCTATTTTGTGTTGGTCCAACACGACCATTTGGCGAAGGACCTGAACAACAACAAATTTTAACAGCAATTCGAACATCAGAAAATAAAATTGCATTAAAATCTGGTTTTGGTAAATATTTAGCAATTAATAAAAATGGTTTAGTTATTGGTCGATCAGGTTATTTTAGAAATTTAATGATAAAAATTTTCTTTAGTTTCTTTTTTCTTTTTTGTTTGTATAGATGCTATTGGAATGCGTGAACATTTTGAACCAGTTTTTGAAAATGGAAATTTAGCATTATCAGCAAGTAATAATAAATTTATTCGTTTTAATGATGAAGGTGATCTTGTTGCACTGGATGATAGTGCAACTGAAGCAAATTTTATACAAATACGATCAAATGCTAAACGTATACATGAAAAAGATAAACGACAAAAAGAATTACCTATTGAAGAACAAGGTTCTATTCAAGATACAGAAATGAATTATGTTAAAAAATTTCAAAAATTTCAAGATAAAAAATTACGAATCAATCCAGGAGCTGTTAATGAATTGGTTAATGCAAAGAACAGTGGTGCATTACATGAAGCTTTACTTGATAGACGTGAACAAATGAAATCTGATCGTTATTGTAAATAAAAAAAAATCTATAGATTCTAACGAATTTCGATCTTGTACGAATATATAATTATCGCTATTGTGTAATAAAGATACATAGAATCTATTATTTTTTCCTTGTTATAACAATATCATTTTGAATTCATTTGTACTAAAATAATGTATATTTCATGTATCAATAGATTTTCGCTTAGAGCAATAGTGATCCGCATTATCTCGTTCAATTAGAGGCCATCATGTCCTAAATTTTCGGACTCGGTTAATGGACAAATTTCAGAGTCGGATTCGGGTTCAAGACTAACCCGACAGGCTCTACATTCAATACAAAACTTAAGATGATTTGATCAAGAGAAAAATGATGAGAAAAATCCTGTTTCTTCATTCAACTCAATCTTCTGTAATCGCTGTTATATATCAAATCCAAATATTTAAGAAATAAAGGCTATATCTTTTCTCTATTAATAATTTGTATTTTAATAGCACATGATTTATTTTCTTTTAAACCAAAAAACAGAAAAAGAAACAAATTCAGATCAGTTACATACAATCGCACAAAATTGTTTTGTTCAAAAAACAAATAATTCTTGTTTCATTTCTTTATTTTTGGCAAACACACAGAATAGTTTCTTAATTGTCACGATCATAACTTATACATACAAACAAAAAACAAAGAGGAACAACAAAAAATCGTTAATAATAATCGTAAATGAATCGATTCAGTAATATCTTGCTCAAATCATTTAACGAAATTAAACGAAAAATATACTCGCACAAAATATCACAACCGGAGAAATGATATACATATCAAGGATAGTTTTTCTAATCATCACTAAAACAAAACCAAACGCAACAGAATATTTTTATTTCTTAATTATTGCCACTAGTGGCAGTTCTATGATGAGAAATACGTTGTTGTGATTGTATTTCATGATTTTTTTCTTGAATAAATGAAATAAAAACTGATTTTTGTACGGAATCATCACGATTATTAAAATCCCAATAGAAACTATTTTCAAGCATTGATCTAAAATTTAAATATATTATTGAATAAAATAAAGTAAGAAAAAAAAATTAATCGATCAATTACCGTAATGAAGCTACATGCGAAGAATCGTTTGGAGCAGCTGGTATTGATGTACGATTTATTTGATTATGAAAATATTTTGTTTGATGAGATTTACTTAATAAAATTGTCCATGGATCTATATCCAACAAATAAATTAACTACTAGAAAAAAAATTCATTAATACGTACGTTGAACAAATTTAAATATCCATAAACCACGAACTTCTACACGTGGTTTACTTTCAATATCGTTATTAGTAAACCATAATCGTTCACTATCAATTTGATTCAATGATCCAGAAGTACATAATCTAAACATATAATAATAATTATTCTTTAAATAATTAACTAGAAATAATTTTCAGTTTATTTATTAATGTATAGACAAACATTAGATTAGACAAGAAATATTCATTTTTTTTTACTAAATTGTCTCTGAAGCTTTTCAATTTCCTAGCAATATTAGATATCAACATTTAATTTAGTAAAAGTCAAAAATAAAGATTAAACTTGTACAAATGATACGAATTTTGAAAACAAAAAATGCAATTTGTAAAATTGTCGTTACTTACTTAGATTGAAAAATTTTATGATACTCAGAAATAATATTCTCAAATATCAAAATATCTTTTGTTTTTTAGCTAACTTTTATTTTGCATACGATTTAAAGAGTTCGATATATATAGTAAATTCGATCGATTTCAAGTTCGAATTTTGATACCAAAGGGGTCATAAGATTGAGTTCGATTTGAACCTCGATCTTCAGAACACGAAATATACTTGTTTGCAATATGAAAAACTTCATCGTACTCAACATATTATTCTCGTAGAAGTTGAGCTAAGAATTTTTTAATAATATTAGCAAAAAAGAAAAATTAATTAATTTAGATGTTAATCAAATTATGTGAGGAAAAAAATCGAAATTCATCCCTAAGTTTAGTAGTCATTTTGTGAATCATCTAATAGATCCAATTCCTATAACTGCAAGTCAATCTTTTGAGTTCAAATTCAATCTGTAATATGTTTTTGAAACATCTAATTATGTTGAAAAGCTGAAATTCTAGACAGACAATTCCTTATTAATTTAAGATCTCCATTAAATCTCAATCAAGAACTCAAAACTTGTATCTATCTTGTGAGCATTTCATCACTGATATAAAATTTTACTTGTAAGAAAAATAAAACACTGATTAATTCTCCTTGTATATTTACTTGTCAAATTGTACATCCATCTGTTCCAAACGTAATTGTTCATGGATCCGAATAGGTACGAGATCAGTACGAGCTGGTTTATTAATTGTTTTTTCAAATAATTTTAATGATCGATATCTAGAAATTCAAAAATAAATAAATCTTATTAATGAAAATCATCATCTTTACCGATCCATAAAAACAATTGGCCGTTTATTTTGAACAAGCATATTTTCATTACCAATAAAATATGCATCAATTATATAAATTGCTGATCGTTGACGATTATTTCTACCCTAAAAATCCTCGTCATTTTGTTTTAATTGAAAAAGGAAAACAAAAAAGAAAAAGATTATTTTTACATCAGTAAATTGTTCTTTGACACGTTCAGCAAGCAATAAAGTATATGGTGGTAATTCAATTTTAGATTGTGTTCGTTCTGATGACGACCAACGTTTATCTTTATTTTTTAATTCCATAGCAAAAACTGAACCTCGCTAGAAAAAAAAAACAATAAATATTATTAAATAGCAAACAAATGTATATTTAAAATAAACTTACACCACATGATAATAGTAGAACAGGTTCACCTAATGAAAGTGTACATCGATAATCAAATAATGATTGTATTTGATGTTGATCAAGAACAGAATTTTTAAATAAATTTGGTATATTACAAAGAATATTTTCCATACCATTGCCAAGCTAAATAATTCAATTTTATAAGAAACAAAAAAGTGACGAAATTATTTACTTGATGAAAAAGAACATTTTGAATATCATTACACATTAATCTTTTTGGTTTTTGTCGTGCTCCATTTGGTATCTTAAAATCAAAATTATTTCTTTTTCTAAGAAAGAAAATAAAAATACTAACCATCCAGAATTGAAGACATCGTGTACGAATATCATTTTGTCGATAATCTTTCAAAGATGCATTACTAACAAAAGCACGAATTTTTTTTAAATTTCTGATTTGACTGTCACCCAATCTAAATCAATTCATAATTAATTTAAATACTCAAATTTACGAGTGCTCATTTTCAAATGATTAATCGCTTTGTTATCGGAAGCTAGTAGATTGTAGGCTATTGATCATGCTAGTCCCGAATATAATCATAAAAAAATCTCCTTCAGTCTTTATATACTAGTTTTTCAAGCAAATAAACATTTTGCCAAAATTGTTTGTGATCTATTCAGATTATAGAATATATTGACTTGTCCCTAAATCAAGAATCTTTTTTGTTTTCCAAATATGAGTTTTAAGTAAAATAATATCATCTTCAAAATTTTCCTAGTAAAACGCTACTATATATCTGCTATATGAATTAAAGTGGATGTATTTTCTGCAAAAAAAAAAATGATTTAAAACAGACAAATTTACTGCTTCTTAGGTAATTCAATATGATCTATAATCTGAACAGATCCAAAAATTTAATTTTTTTTTGGTTGCGAAAAGTTTGTTAGCATGAAAAACTGGCGTATAATGACATATGGAGATTTCTGATGACTATATTCCAAATCAGCATGATCGATAACCTACAATCCACTAGCTTTCGATGAAAAAGCGATTGGTCAGTTGAAAACATTCTCTCGTTAGAGAAAAAAAAAACTTACTGATTATTCGAATTTCGAATGTATTCATAAAATTTTTCATTTCCTTTTAAAATATTCATTGGAACAATCGATTGAACATCATTATATTCAGTATCATCTCGATATTTATTCTGAAGAGCATTTATTTCATACATATAAGTACGTACAACATCTCGAACATCTCCACGAAGACTTTTACAAATAATATATCTATAAAAATAAAAATAAAAATTTCTAAATTTTAAAAACAAAAAATTCTTTTGGTTCTTTTTTTTACCGTTCAGAATTTGCTGGTCGACTTGTAACTGGTTTATGAATCGATATTTGATTAAATGTTCGATACATTAAATAAATAAGTCCCACACTGAATGGAGTAAATAAATCAAATAGTTTACAAACAAAATGACCACCTAAAACAATAAACTCAAGCGATTCAATCAAATAAGGAAAATATTTTTCTTTTAACCTGGTCGAAGAATTGACAAAGCTGTTAGAAATTGACATAAGTATAATTGTTTACTTAAAATTTCTTGAATATTTTCTTGTCCTTCAACCGAAAATCCCTATATTTTAATAAGCAAAGAATGAATTTGTTTTTTGTTTTTCCTTAAACTTACTCCATCAGCCATAACAATATGTACACCATTCAATTTTGTACATTTATTTACATAATTTTGTAAAGCATCTATATTTTCAGATTTAAATATATCACCATCACCATCTATATCTTTTACACCATAATATGGATCAAATGTTTCAGGTGCACCAGCAAGAAATTTATGAAGAGCAAAATCTGAGTTTCCTTTTAATGTAAAACCAAATCCTTAAAGAAAAAGCAAGCGAATTAGAAAAAAAAGAGTTAGCACATTCCATAGTTGCTATTTCTAATCACAAAAAGATTGTTTGACCATCCTTTTACTTAATTCTCCAGACATAACGAGACATTATAGTTAGATGGTCTGTGATAAAAGAGAGACGTTTTCAAATTTCTACTATTATACTTCGATATTTCGTTTAAGTCATGTTTTACAAAAGTTAATAATTATTAAATTTACCTTTTGCACGCCATTGTTTTTTCCATAAAATATATTCACTAAAACCACCGGGACCAGCACAAATATCAGCAAAATAAAATGGTTCATCGCTTTGAACAAGTGATCGCTAGATAATATTTAATAGATTAGAATAAATTTAGAAAAGAATAAATTACTTGATCATTAGGAGTTTTAGGATCAGTAAACATTCGTTCAAAAACACAATCAATATTAGCCATTTTAACTGCAGCTCTATTTGATGTAAAAAAAAATAAAATAAAAGAATCATTTATAAAATGATTTTATTGAAATACCGATTGAGAAAAATTGATTGGCCAATTGTTTCATAGACATTACTTCGTGCTCGAGCTTCTTCCATTTCTTTTTGTGGTAATTCATCGAATACAGTCTGAAATAATGATAAGTTATGAAGAATGTTTTTTTTTTTTGTATAAGAAATTATTTACTTTTCCATCTATCATTTCTTTAAGAATATCTTCATCACAAAATTCAACTTCATCATCGATTACTTTCTTTTTCTACATTTAAAAATAATATATATATTAGCTTTTTTAAGAAGATATTTATTTTATCTGTACTGGTCCAAGTTTAATCCATTCTCGCATGTCATCGAGATCTAATGGAGCTTCAATATGATCACTAGATGGACACCAATGAATTTCTTCTTCTACTGGAGCCTAGAGATATCAAAGGAAATATAAATGAGAAGATAAAGATAATATATATTTACCGGATCATTATCAAAATTCCAGTCAGCTGTTTCATCATTAAAAGCTCTATAAGTAAAACCAAGACCACGACGTCCTTTTTGTTTACTTTCTTCAACTAATTTTGTTGGACCTTGAGCATTAAGACCAAGACCACGATTTTTATCATAACCCATTTTTTCCTAAATAGAATCCAAAATTGAAATTTTCATATCTACAAATCAAATGACTTTTTTTTACCATCATTTTAGTTGCAGCAAACGAAAAGTCACTGGATGGTGGTGGAGTTGGTAATGTTGATATTCCATCGTTTCTTGGTTTTTTCTTTGGTGGTGGTGTACCATTTAATTGTGATGATAATTCTCTTTTTGTATCACGTATTTCTTGTTTACCTATTTGATGATTTGGATTATAAATCATTGATGTATTATCGGTAGTTGTTGTAAGATTACTATTAGTCCGTAGATTTGATTTATATGATGATGATATTGAATCATAATCAGAATTGGAAGATGTCGATGAAAATGATGAATTAAAACTATCCGGTAGACTCCACATATGTGAAATATCTGATGATGATGAAGGTTTATTCAATGATGCATATGGTGCATAATGTGTTTGATTGATTGCTGAATCGAAACTTCCGGTTGTACTTTGATTATTGTCGACTGATAAACGATTCTCTATATAAACAATAAATATAAAGATTCAAATATCTACGAAAAATATCTCAAATGGTTTTAGTAACGAGAAAACCAACCGAGGTAATATCTCACGTTTGAGATGAGACTCCAATCATTACGTAAGATCTGTTGAGACTAGAAGAAGACTTGAAGGATTCTTCTCCATACGCTGCCCTTTTGGAGATATGGTCATTACACTGAATTTGCTTTTTAGCACGGTATATATAAAAAACACCAGACAAACGAATTTTGGTCTTAAGTTGTGTCTATAGACAACTCTTGAACTCGTTAGAATCTCCTAAAAACTTCAGCCAACAAAGAATGGTCTCTTCTCGAGATGTCAAATCAAAAGAAAACCTAGATTGTTAGTCCTTTTGGTGTAATATCATAATTTTTTGTCGATTTGATGTCTCGAGAAGAGACTATTCTTTTTGGCTAAAGTTTTTAGGAGATTCTAATAAGTTCAAGAGCTGTCTATGGACAAAATTTTAGGCCAAAATTCGTTTGTACGTCTTTTTTTTAATAAATACCGTGCTAAAGGTAACAGATCTAGTGTAACAACTATAATTCCAAAAGTGCAACGCATGGAGAAGAATTCTTCTAGTTTCAACAGGCCCTACGTAATGACTGAGGTCTCATCTCAAACGCGAGGCACCACCTTGAGTAGTTCTCTCGTAAGTAATTTATCTACTTCTCTAATACAAAAAAAAATTGAAATATTCGATCACTAAGAAAAAGACTTTATTTGTAAGTTGACTTTAAATTTTGAAGACAAAATAAATAAAGCTCATCGAATTTTCTGATTCTTGTTTGGGAAAATGAACAAATATTGCATTAAAATTTTATTCATCTAAAAGATAATTTGGGTTATTTAATGGAATAAAAACTTAAATAACTTACTTTTAAAGTCTTTTCTTTTCGTAGAGACTACGACTTAAATGTTACTTCTCATCAAACTTCTGAAAAACCTACGATTGCAAACTCTTTAAAATTGCACTTTCAGCAGAAAAAAATAACTTTTTATAGAGAACATTCATCTGTTGATTCAATTCAAGTAAATAAAAACTTACTTTTACTATGTGTTTTTGAAGATGATTGTTCATTGTCTTCATTAGCTTTTCGTTTCTTAGACATTGACATCTGAAAGGAAATTTTTTTTTTATAAATTTGATCATAGTAGCACAACTTTACGAATTTTTTCTTTCCGAAACTCATCATTATCTTTATCAAGAATAATAACAAGCATAATAAGACAAAGAAAAGAATCTTCTTGAATAAGTTCATAAGTAAACCACAGTCGATGTCAATTAAAGATATACCTATAGTTTTCATTCTATGCGAGATACAAGATACAAGTAAAAGAAAAAAAAAAGAGGAAAATAAAACGTTTTTCTTTTCCATTTCATAACAGATTTAAAAAGAAGAGTTCCATTAATATCCTACATAGTTTCTTCATCCGATAAATCATCTTCATCCATCATCATACTACCAGCAACATTCGGTACAAAATGTCGACGAGAAACGTTATTATTATTATTATTATTATTTGGTGAACGAATTGAAGATAATACTGAATCATCTTTAACCATTAAATTTGATTTAATTATAGCTGAACGAAGTAAAAGTGCTCGAGTAAGTTTTTCAGATTGTTTTGTTATTGTTAATGCATGTTGATACGCATGCCAACGTTGATCTGTATCGGCAACATATAAAATTTTATTTTTTGAATCAATACGTGCTTTTATTTTTCCCGAACGAATTAAATGAACAAGTTCATCTTCAAGTACATCAATTGTTGTATTGAGTTGACGTGCCATAATTGGCATACTAGCATTTTTATATGGTAAAAAATATGTTATAATTATTCGATGACGAATTTCATAATATAATGCACGTAAATGAGGCGCTAAATATTGATCTAATGCAAATATAGGTTCAAGTTGAGACATTACAGCAAGACAAGATGAATATGATGTTTCATAAAATTGATGAAGAATATCTCGAATAGATGGTTCTAATTCAAGATATTGTTTCATATTTGTTGACATTATTATTAACCGATGTATTTCTGATCGTTCAAATGTTGCTAGACTGCATAGACAAACATATTGAATTAATGTTTGAGGTGAGATAAGATCCTAAAGAAAAATTTATTAAGTAAAGAAATGAAAAATTTCCCAGCCTCTAGCAAAGAAAATAAATCATGAAAAAGTATATGATAAGTTGTGTTACCATAGGCTAAATACTTTTCTCATTCAGGCACAACTATCAAAAACTTCAAAATCTCATTTCTTTGTCTAGAGATAACATTTTAGAGTTTTTCAATCTTTTAGATTGTAGAAAGAAAATCATATCGTGAGCAATTTAAAAAGTTAAAATAAATGAATTTCGTGTACAGCACTTCGTATGTGTGAAACAATTTCAATTCAAAAAATCTATTTGTTCTGTAAGTATTGACTTTTTCTGATGAGTCATTTTCAAATTTCAATAAATCTTACTTGAAAATGATTTGAACAATGATCAAATGAAACACCGAGAAAATGACGTGCTGCTAATTTATATCGTTTTGTTGCTAATTCTGCAATACCAGCATAAACTTTTAAACGTGATGTTAATACTGCATCAGATGCAATTGTTGCATTTGTAGTTGATGCACTTGATACTTCCATTGGATTAACCATTGATGTCAAAACTGATGGTGTTGTTGCTGATTTTGATGTAGATTCAAGACTTTCAATGGCTTGTTCAGCTTTACTAACATATGATAAAACATTCGACCAATTTTGCATATAAAATGATGCTTTTATCACATTCATACACATTGTTATCATATGTCTTGGTGTAACACAATAATCTCGTGAACGCACATAACAACGAACAGCATTAAAAAAATCTCCAGCATCTAAATAATGATCACCAAGATCATCATGACCACGACGTATTGAATCTTTTATTGAATTTGTACGAAAATTTCGTAAATCAGTATCAAGTTTTTCAAGTTTATGAACATAATTACGTTGTGTTCGTTCATACCATGCTGCATCAAAATCATTTGGTAATGGTATATTTTGTTTCTTAATTTCATCAAGTATCTGGAAAAAAAACGAATAATAACAATTTAATTAAAATTAAACAAAACAAAAAAATATCTTGTTTTACTTGTTTATAAAGAGAAATAAAATGTGTTTCTTGTATATATTTAAAACTGATTAGAAGAGCATCATTACGTAATTGTGGACAATGATCAGCTACATATAATAAACGATAAATACGCATAAGACCAATATATGATGATGTTATTGTTTCTAGATCAAAATTAGTGGATGATATATCAACTTGATAATTTCCTTCATAAGATGGTATAGTTGTATTTCCATTTGAACGTTGTTGTGGAAAATTATTATTATTATTATTATCTCCACTTGCAGAAATTGTATTTCCAACAATATTCTGTGCATCCATTATCTGATTATTAACATTTGAGTCAAACTGTTTTGATAAAATCATTATCTGAAATTAAAAAAAAAAAGAAAATATAAGTCATTCAATTGATTGCTGAATCCATTGTTGGATTATATTAATTAATTCTCTTTCTTTGCCTATAAAACAATGATTAGCATCTGATACAATGATCATTTCGTTCTTTTTTGTATTTTTTAATTGCTCATTATATAAATATATATCATCACCGGGAACAACATTATCTTGATCACCCCAAATACTCAAAACTTTTGCATGACGAATTTTTTCAATTTGACTTAAATCAAGACTTTTTCGACGTTCTATTGCTTCTCTTGTTATACGAAAATTTCCATCATCACGGGTACATATTATAAATGAACCATTTTTTTCAAGTTTATCTAACTGCTGTTTAGAAAACCGTTCATTTATACCACGTTCAAGTCGATAACGTCCAGCTATATTGACAATAATTGGTATATCATCATAATATAGAGCATAAAGTAAAGCCGTCGTTCCAGCTCGTGAATGTCCTATAAGACCTCGAATAAAATATTTATCATTTCTATTACGTAAATATTCCACAACACATCTTAGATCATCTTTAGCTTCATCTTCATATCCTCCATAGTCCCATTCATCGCGTCCAGTTGATTCACCACAACCATGAAAATCAAAGCGAACTGAATGAAATTGATTTGTATCTGAATTTGATATATTACGAGATAATTGCGGAAGAAAAAGTGCATTTTTATGTGACATATAACCATGACATATAATAACTACATGTTCTCTATTTTGATCATCAATATAAGGAAAACGTTTTCGATGAAAAATACATGACAATTTATGTTGATAATGTGATGAAATAATTGTAAATGGTTCTTCAACAAAATCAGTCATTCTAAAATAGATTAAAGTTAGCAGAAAGCCTTGTAAGTTACTATAAGAAGAAAAAGTAATTCTATGTATTTTGTTTTCTTTTCTCTTATCAACACACGTTTTCGGTAAAGTATAGCGTGAATAATAATAGAACGTAGCTTATAATATAATATAATAGTCTATGACCACATGCGCATGAGTCATCAAATCAATATTGAATGCATTACGATGGGCCAGATTTGGTTTTAGTAGAACAGTCAGAAAAAAATTGTGACTAAAACGTATTAAATCAGAAGACATATTCACTTATATTTTTTGTTTTTTTTTAAACTGAGTTTTAAGCAGATGAGGGCGCTACACTACGGCCACAATGTGACAACAGTTCAACCAATTTTGTTTGAAAACAAATATAAATGAAAGATGTCGTTAAATCAATTCTTATGATTTTCGTAGTGTAACTCTCTGGTTTTAGTTTGCCAGAACACCTTAACATGTAAAATAATCTGTGTCACTGATTTACCCTCACGTACTCAAAATATTACCTTGTAAAGATAAGTTTCATGCCAAATGCATTAGTGAATCTCGGATTCAACATTGATTGGCATTTCTCCCATTACTTACTATCACCAGATGACGTACTACAATATACCGATTCGTTGGTAATTTCAACAACTTGATGCAATCTTGTGCAAACGAAGGAGGTCGCAACAATACGAAGTTGAACATGAATAAACAATAAATTTTGAAACTTATTGTTTTTATGGGTTAGTGTTTTCTTCGTATGTAAGAGTATTTGGATAGTCGAACTGTTTGCAAACGAATTAAATTGTCTGTTTTTAATGATTTCATCATATTTGATGCAAAGTTATTTCTAAAGTCATATATCTGCCAAATTTTTATGAGCTTTATTTTTTTTTGACGAGCCTCTAGTTTTCAAATAATAACCAATAATTTGTAATCATTGACAGATATTCTCAAAAAGTGCAATCGTATTTCTATCTATCAAAGTTCTGCTTTGGATACGTTTTGCACATAATGATTTGTGTGCTATTAGAGGTCTGGAGACTTTGTTATACGTATCTTTTTATCAAACTATCCATACAGAGCGAAGAAAGGCAAGAGATAAAAGTGAGGAGAACAGGATGGTGCAAAATTAAGGTACCTTCTTCGTATTTAAAGCTCTGTTTATATTCAGTTAAAAACAGTTACGATAGTATGTGAAAATTAGCATTCAATTCTCATGAATAGAAGTGTTCAACCTTAGCTATCCAGTGAAAAACAGTACAACTAAAATCGGTATTATTTTTGATTATGAGAATATTTCTTCGATTTTTGTGAGAAAATATTTAGCTTCGGACGATTATTGGATTAAAAGTCGATTAGAATAAGGTACTTAATAGAAAAAATAATTCATGTCTTCGATTATAATTGATTGTTCGACTATTAATCAGATTCTAGTTTGGAATCGATTTAGATAGCAATCATTTTTAATCTAATGAATAAATTCTTAATTCATCGTGACCGATTCAGTGAAATTTTATTAATCGATTGGTATCAGAATTCTTAGAAAATCTATTTGAAAATTTTTAATGAATCACCATCGTTTATTTTACCCATTAATTCGATTTTAAGAGATCCCTTCAAAAATCTAACTTCGATAGAGTACATGAGATATTGATGAAACTTTGGATAGATGTTAGGCTCATCGATGTACATTATTAAAAAAAAATTTCACGCCTCTATACCTTACTATTCAGGAGACATCGAGGAACCAATCTGTAAAACAAAGCTTTCAGGCGTACAATTTTTTTTCTAATATACTTCAAGCTGGCGAATTTGGATTGGTTTTATTTGAAAGAGAACTCACTACTGCTTCGGATGAGGGAAAGGATTTTTTTAAATTATTACTTTGTTGTATTTTAAAGATCACTGAAATCTCAAAAATCTGGAAATCCTAGACATGGCTTTCTGAAAAACCTATGGTTTCTTTAGTATTGATGATCAATTAAAAAATCCCTTTCCCTCAACTGAAAGACTATGCATGTATCTATCGATAAAAAAAGATACAGCTCTTTAGATTGATGAATATTGAAAAAAAATTTGTTCGCAGTTCGATCATTAGCAAAAAAAGTCAATTTTGAGAAAAATGCAAAACAATTTTTTTTTAATTAGCCTTCCTATTATTAATTAAAACTGTGGTAAAGCCTGAATATATTAGATGCCAATCGAAGCTCTTATTGATATACATTAAGTGATCCTCATATAAGACACATTACGATAGATGACGTGAACTATAATTGTATAACTTAGTTATTTTTCGATGTAATTCGAAATAATCAACGGAATGAGTTTCGTAAAATAAGAATCACGACACATTTCTCTAACGGAAGAACGTCATGATGTATCCGATTGCTTTCGGATCGAAAATATATTCAGAAGATAGGCTGTACTGGGTCTAATTCAAGTCTAAATGGCTTCGGTTGTGTGAGTCTTTGCTCTTGTGTCATCAGATTTTTAGTCCTTTTTTTTAGTAACAATGTCATGGTTCCCTTCAGATCGTCTGAAGAGTTGAATTTCGACTTGAAACTTATTACAAATAGAGCTCTCAAAGGAACTAGACTACTGTGAGATTTTCATTGAAATCAATACTTTGTACACTACGATATGAATACTGTAAAGTTCCTATTTTAAAAAAGTCACCATTTTTCCTATCTTCATATCGTGATATGGAAAGCCTTGAAATCAGTGAAACGTTCACATTAATCTACGTAGTTCTATTAAGAGCTTTGTTTGTAGAAAATTTCAAGTCGAAATTCGTTTTTCCAAGTGCTCTGAGGTGTAGTACAGCGATCTACTGGAAAACCGCTACAAAGCCAGTATCTCAAGAAGAAGAGTTTAGACAACCAAACGCATTTTGGTCTGAACTAGACTCAACAGAGCCTATCATCAGAAAATATCTTCTATCAGAAGGCAATCGAACACCTCATGATATACACGTGCAGTTTCTTTTGTAACCAATAACGGAATTCTTTAGAGAAAAATGTCGATCGCCAACACTCAAAATACTCGAATATGATTATGAATAAGAAACGTCACCAAATTCGAATCGAATTAAGTAAATCTCCATCTGATTATGTCACGCAACAACTGGAAGAAAACCCTACCGTCAAGACTATAATGTAATTGCATCAGTGTTGACAAAGGATATTTCATGATTGCGTCAGTTCTCGTCAAACGACTTGCACTTTTTCTGACTCATTCTTACTACATGAAAAATTCAACAGTGAGTCATCTATTCAATGATGTCAGATTGTCAACATAAAGAAAGTACAAAATGCATGGAGTTGATTAGATGCATACACAAATCATCAGGGATGTTGTTGGTATCTAACAATTACGAGTATATGAATGAAGATACGATTGACGACGAACTTAAATGCATTATTTGTACGCAACCTTTTCTCAAACCTATTCGTCTCGACTGTCAACACGTGTTTTGTCAAATTTGTATCCAAACCTGGACTGAACGAAAAACGTCTTGTCCCATATGTCGCCATCAATTCGGGGTTGAATGTTTGTTCACGAACCGACCAATTTATACTCTAGGTTATCAACTTGATTGTTTGCTTGTTCGATGTCTTCAGTGCAATCAAACGAATATTCAACGAGGTGATTTCAATGAACACATTCGAAGATGTTTGAAGAATCAAATGATACGAACATCGAGTTTTTTCTCGAAGCTGGACTATTCAATGAACACAATGATACGAACAAATCATCGCTACACAGCGCTTACCCGTACAACTGGACATACTCATACCAGTCGTTTACAGATCGATAGTTCTTCTCGCACACGAATACACGAATATTTGTTAACTTTTCAACAACAACAAGAAAGATTTACCAATTTAGTAGCGAAACTTTCACAAGAATCAATCGATTTCAGAACGCTTGCGATTGGCAACCGTAAGATTATTGAATGGAAGACAAGAGCAATTTTCTTCATACATGTTGTCATTCTGATCTTGACATTGTCAATAGTGTTAGATAGAACAAAGATTGTCATATCTCATTTGTTCTACACAATTATGGCTGTGCTACTTCTTTTTGCCTTTGAATAATAATATGACCAGCCAATTCTTTGGAGTTCTATTCATTCATCTAATCCGATGACTCCTTCTGTTTTTGTTTTATTTTTCCAAATGTTCTCGTCATGTTTGGTACAGTTCGTTTTTTCGAACCTCTTAACTTGTGAGACAAAGACAAATAGCTTTGATGCTTCTTGGCGTGTGAAAGTTGTCTCATCCAGTCCAATTTCAAGAAAAAAAAGACAAAGAACTACTACAACTATAGTCCTGTTGATTGATCAATAGTCAATACTGATTCATCCTAACTTTCGTTGCCGTCTTCAATACATCATGAAGATTCAATATCTAAAACGATCAAAATTTTTTCTAGTCCACTGCACGATTCCGTATTATCCACATCGTTATTCCGTTTATATATCCATTTTTTATCTCAAATATTTGCTCTATTTTCTTCTCACCTATTTACTCACGGTCTTCTATTAGTAATAAAAGGATCGATACAGAAAAACTATCACAAAATATTGATGAGATAGGAAAACAGACGAAAGTAGCTATGAAATTATTAGGAAATTCTTCTAAGGATTTGTTGTTTTCGGTAAAGGTCAAAAAAAATAAAAATGATGTTAATTAATAATGCGGTATCACTCAGATATCCGAAAGTTTTTTTTCGAAAATGAAATGGTAGAAACCGTTTCATCATTTAAATATTTACGTGCTGAAATAAGCAATAAAATGGGATGGGAATCTTTTTTTTGTTAAAACAAGATCATCGAAAATCCGAAATATATATTTAATGCACTCAGAAAAATGTTCCGAATGATTCATATGGAAGACTATTATATTAGGAAGAAACTTTTTTTGTACATTCGCACTACAGCACTCTTCTTGGTTATTCGTAGCATGGTTATTTTTTACAGAAAACCAGAAACAAGA